CCCCAAAACCCCAAAACCCCAAAACCCCAAAACCCCAAAACCCCTAAATAATCCCTCTGAATTGAAGAATTGTTTTAAAAGGGTTCTTGGTCAGTCCCAAAAATTTCTTTCTCGAGCTCCTCTAATTTCTGCTGGAGGACCTTGTGCTTGGCACTATGGTATTGCTTTTCTGCTTCTAATAGGTCTGCTTTAGACTCAATCATTTTCCCTCTAGCTTTCAAAATGGTTTTTGTGAACTGTAAAGTTTAGGCAATTTTTAATTACCTTTGTGGTTAAGGTTGAGTCTACCCTGCCTACCTCTGCTAGCAAATGATAGGTATCAGCAAGCTCCAAGGAGTCTTTGTCTCATTCCTGTCTATACTCAGTGGTATCCTCTCCAAGATTCTCAAGCATCTTGAGGAGTCTGTCTTCGAGGAGTTTTACTTCGTTAAGGTCATCGCAGTCGTCAATTCTGTGAATTTTCTCTTGTTCTTCACCTGAAAGCCTTTCTTCGTTCTTAATACCCATGGCTTGGAGATGTTTACGCTGTAAGATAAGCTGATCAATTTTGTGTTTGAGGTCAAGATGGTCTCTTTCTTCGTCGATCGGGTCAATAGCGTTAAAATTGTGCTGCTTTTCGAGCTTATTTTAACATTTCAGTTATCATGACAAAAAGCTCTGTTGCAGTATAATCTTGGTTCGGATTATGGACTAAAACTCAGATAAATTTCCCCAAAATCCATTTTCCCCCCTCCCCTACTAACCCCCCTCAAAAACGCTTAAAATCCCTTCAAAACCCTCTCTCTTGCCTCCTTCCTCCCATTTCCCTCACCTACCTCCATCAACCACCTTGTTCTGCAAAAACTCATTATCTTCCAAAAAGTGAGCAATAACTTCTGTATCTGCAAACTCAATATTCTTATTCAAAGACTGTTGAAACTCCTTAAGTTTATCCAGTTCTTCCTCCTTCACCTTGTTCTGCTCCTTCATCTGGTTGTATTCGAGGGTCGTAGTGACGATGCTGTCTTTTAAGTGCTGGATTACTTGTTTCTGCTCGATTTCTTTATTTATCAGTGCTTTTTAGATCGGAAATTTCTTTACGCAAATTTTTGTATTTTGCATTCAAAGCCATTCATTCTTCGGAGATTGTCTCTTTGAGGCATTTTAATTGGTTGAACTCTGCATGTCTCCTTCTGCTGTCGGTGATTGAGTCTATTTGGGAATCTTCTCTTTTGAATCCTTTTTTGTTCTTCTTCGATAATTTCTCCATTTTGAGTTTAGTAAGGCGGTTTGGGTAATTATATAAAATTATGATAATTCAATTGAATTGCTATTTATTGGGGTTTTGGGGTTTTGGGGTTTTGGGGTTTTGGGGTTTTGGGG